CCGCGATAGGCCCGGCCTGTACCTCACTCCCTGCCTCTGCCGTACGCACGTCCTCCCCCGATTCCTCTCCCGTTCCCCCAGCACAGACACACTCTCCCTGTTCCTTATCTCTTGTCTTGCTCCCTCTGTGCACTCCACGCGCCTCCATCGCTCCTGCCTCTAGGGAATGTGTTTTCACGGACTTCCATGAGGCCAGAACAGTGTAGTCAGTCCTGACCCTTGAATGGCTTCTAATAGGTCTGCACCTTCAGAAAAAGGTCCTGCCGGTGTGCTGGATTTCTTGTGGCCACTCTCAGCTACAGCGCTCGTCTGCAGAGTAGGAATCCTCATTTACAGATGAGGGGAACTGTGCTCCTCAGTCGTGTCATGATTGGGCTGTGGGGTTGTGTTACAACACCTTACTGTCCAGTGCTTCTAACGGCTGATGTGGCTGCCTGGCTGTGTGACCTCAACTAGGGTGGAAACTAATGTTTTCATCTGACAAATCCTTAAAAATGCTGTTCTGGTTTAACCCTAGTAGGCAGCTAAACACCCCATAGCCGCTCACTTGCCCCCGCTCCCTTCAGGAGGATGCAGGGGAGAATTGGAATGGTAAAAGTGAGAGAAAACTCAAGAACTGCGATAAAGACAGTTTATTTTTTTTTAAATGGAAGGGCAAAAAAAACAACAGAGAGGAGGAAAAGAAAAAACCACCTAAGAAAAGAAAGTGATGTAAAAGAAAAAAATTGCTCACCATCAACTGACTGATGCTAAGCCAGTCGCCAAGTAATGGCAGCCCCACCAACTTACACCCCCATCAGTTTTATTGCTGAGCACGACTTCATATGGTCTGTTATTTTTTTTTAAATGGAAGGGCAAAAAAAACAACAGAGAGGAGGAAAAGAAAAAACCACCTAAGAAAAGAAAGTGATGTAAAAGAAAAAAATTGCTCACCATCAACTGACTGATGCTAAGCCAGTCGCCAAGTAATGGCAGCCCCACCAACTTACACCCCCATCAGTTTTATTGCTGAGCACGACTTCATATGGTCTGGAATATCCATTTAGTCAGTTGGGGTCAGCTGTCTGAAATGTATCCCCTCCCAACTTGTGCACCCCCAGCCCGCTCGGTGATGGGGCAGAGTGAGGAGCAGAAGAGGCCTTGATGATGTGTGAGCCCTGCTCAGCAACAACTAAAACATCCCTGTGTTAGTCAACACTATTCTCAGCTCAAATCCAAAACATAGCCCCATACAAGCTGCTGTACAATAGATGTCATGCTGCTGTCTCCGATAGGCCATTGAGGATGAAGGAGGAGATCCTGATGAAATTCCTGTGGCCTCAGAACTGACCAACAAGAGAATGCCAAAAAGAACTAGCAAAGGTACGGAGTCTGGACAAATAAGTTTCCTTTGTTTCCATGTAGCTAGAACTTAACATACAATGTTGATTTCTTCTGTTCAATTAGTTTAATTAAATTTTTTTAAAAAATGCTTTTTCTTTTTTCCCTTATGGAAAATGGTAAAACTCTGTGGTGTTAGTGAGCAATAAAATGTTTAAATGATAATGTGACACCTAACCATGCTTCCATTAGCAAGTTTTGAAACCTGTAGATGAGACTGTAAGTTGCAGGTGTTTCTGTACTTGAAACCCTTGAGTGCAGAATTGTGTCAGGTACAGAACAAGCAGCTGCAGTGTAAGCTCCCGTGGAAAGCTCTGCTGATGTGTATTAAGATGGCTTCACAACACCCCAGGTACCAATTTCCTTGCTGTAACTATATGTATTTTCCTTTTTTCATAGAAGCAGTTGAACCTCCATCATCATTAGGATACTTTGTTAGATGTGAGAAATTACAGTGGGAATAATTGGAAACGTTGTTGCACAAATAATGAACGTGTATAACTTTTGTTAGTGTTGTGTTTCATTTTATATCTACCTGCTGTTTTGAAAATAAACTGTTCTGAAATAGCTCATTAATGATTTAAGTATATGCTGCTTCAAAACGTTAAATATTGTGTGGGCCTTGTTACATGTGGTTTGTTTGAATTGCTCATAGCCAGTTCTTAAAAGACACTTTCTGAAACTTAGTTTTAAGCTGCTTCCTTTAAGATAACAGGCTAAAAATAGAGAATGAGCAGTTGGTTTTGAATAGCAATACAAGTTTGCTCGTGACAGATGTGCCTAAATGTGATCTGTGTGTCCAAGATCTTACAAGTGAAGGCTAATTCTAAATCAGTTTAATTAATTATTTAAATGGTAAGAGGGAGGTTTTTTGTAGCAATGATAGGGTGTTTCTTTTAAATGGAACGCCTTTGTTAGACAATTTTGTCTTTTTAGATGTTGAAGTGTTGTGGAACGAGAGGAGTGTAGCTGTTTAAAAACACAGCTGTGCTACTTCTAGTTCATGCTCATGCCATTCGCTTGTGTCTTGTGGCAAGTCATCTTCTGTAACAGCCAGCCAGATCTGGACCTCTGAATCAGGGTCTTAATGATTATTTATTGAAACAAACTCAGTGTTGAATAGATAATGCAGTGAAGAGTAGACATGTTATGAAATGTAGTGCGATATCTCACTTCAGTTATACTATTTTTAGGAAGAAAACCAGAAGAAGAAGGTGTTGAAGACAATGGACTAGAAGAAAACTCTAGAGATGGGCAGGTAAGTGAAATAATGATTGCTGTTACTAAGAATATGCATCATTTAGCCCACAATAAATACACATTTACCCTTTTCATTTCTGTAGGAGGATATCGAAGCAAGTCTGGATACCTTGCAAGATATTGACATGATGGATATTAGTGTGTTAGATGAAGCTGAAATAGATAACGGCAGTGCTGTAGACTGTGGAGAAGACTATAGTCCTGATAATATTCTTGATTCTCTGTCTGATAATAAAGACAGTGTTGAAGCAGAAATGAAAGAACTTCCAGATCAGCTAACAGCAAATGAGGTGAGTAGAGGTCTTTGTAACATTTCAGAAGATACTTAATAAGTACATGGGCACATGAACGAGTTATTTGAGTGTAATAGGATATGGGACATGAATGTGATATGGATTTTATTTCATATTAACAGCACTCATGTCCTACTCTTTAGGAGGTAAATGTTCTTGGCCCTATCAGAGGCTTGAAGTGTTGACAGTAGATGGGTCACAACCTTTTTTACCTTGCAGTAACATCTTTGCTTGCCATGAAAGAAGCCTGGAGTTGAAAGTAATGTATTAGTTTTGGTGTTCCATCTTCCCATTTGTGTGTGTAAGTGTATGTACTCACATACCTAACCATCTAGACATTTTATATGTATGGAGAGAGAGAAATACATTTTCAACTCACAGATAATTTGGAAATCTTTTCTGCAGAAATAATGCTCTGGTTTAAAGAATTTATGTTGTACAGTTTTCTCATAGGGCTTAATAAAAGAAGAAAATGTTTATGCATTGTCTATTGCCCTGTTCTGACATTGCCAAGCTTTTGACTTAGTTCTGAAAGCAACTTGCAGTGTCTCTAACAGACAGTACAGTCTCCTGCTACTGAATGAACAGGGTAGTCCCTATGTTATGTTCACTCCCCAAATAATTATCCTTCTTTGGATCCTTATGGGGTTTGTTTTTTTGATTTTGGGCTGTTCACTCCCAAAAATGAATGTAGTATCCTTCCTTGCCTCCTTATGTTTTGTTTTATTTTTATTTTAGGCCTATGGTGTCTGTCTCAACTTTTTATTGTTTACCTTCTGAAAAGAGAGTCATTGCAACAGCATCCAGTTAACCTGAAAGGCAGTTTTCTGGTGTTCCATAAATTAGAGCTCTTGTGAATCAAGTAACCGATGAGCTTTGGTTGAATGTTTCCATCAGCTCTTAAGGAAGAATTTGGGGACATGATTTGTTTTTGGAAAAGTAGAAACCAAAGTCAGGTTCATTTCTAACTTCTTTTTTCAGTTAGAAACTAAAGAACTAAAAAAAAAAGTGGGAAAATTGAAAAACATGTTATGTGCAGTAACCACAGAAAATTAAAATAAATTTCCTCTCTAAATCAGATTAACTTAGAAATAGACAATATCATATTGAAATTAAAATAAAAGGTAACTAGAGAAAGATATTTAATCATCAAGAATTGTTGCTCCTCATTCTTGGGTCACAATCTGAAGTAGCAGTTGAGATCTGTGAAATACTGGAAAATATTCCTCGTATTATTGCTAGGGAAAACTGAATACAGTAGTATTTCTCCATAATCTAACATTACTTCTTTTAAGAAATACTATAATTCCTTTTTTACTCTTTTAGGAAGATTATGATGAAATTGAAAACAATTTAGATGCCTCTTCTTCTGATTTAATTGAAATGAAGGTAAATTGAAAATGTATCTTTGTTTCAGATTGTTATCAGTACTCACTCTGTGCTCACACTACAGAAAAGAAAACATGACCATAATGTGGCATTGTAAGAGAACCCAGGACACGTGTGACCTTGCTCAGAATACAGTCTGTCAAATGAGAATGCCCTGTGTTTTCTCCCTGCTTTTCAGTTGGCTATCAAGACTTTCTCCACTTTTGTGGCAAATAAAAATGGTCTTGTACTTTTGATTTCTTCTTTCTCCTGCTGATTATATCAAGAAGTAGCTGGGCTTGTTTTTCACGCTGCAGTTGGTGTGGTACACAGAGGTGCTTTATTTTATCTCTTTAACACTACAAGTTAGATATGGGAATGCAACTGTGGCTGATATTTTTATTTGGTTTTAATGTGCCAGAAAAAAATACTTATGGAAAATCAGTTCCAGTGGATGGTGGAAAAAAAAGTGCTAAATGTAGTAGGTGGAATTTGTGTAGTTTTCAATCTTGGAATTGGGCAGAGTGTTACTATTACTCTGTGTTACAAAATACGTTTATAAAATCCTCATTTTGTTTTCATTTTCCCAAACAGAAAATGGAGAAGCTACACTTGGAGCCAGGTACTGTTAAAGAAAAACATATTCTTGTCTTTTCAACTAATACTTTTTAAACCATTAACTATTAAAAAAAAACAAGCAAAAAAATATAATTTGCATTATTTTTATGATGAACAATCCAGATCATGCAGGGTCATAGAGATTGGAAACCCAATCATATCCCCAGATCTGTGAAGTGATGCTTGTCATCTTTGAAATATTTCCAGTGAAATGAAATGGTTTAAAAACCTGTTAATCTACATAAATGGATTTAGAGAAGTTAATCACAGTTTAAAAGCTAAAGATTCTACTTGTAAACAGATCTTGTGATATCGCACACACCTTAACTCTGTTACTAAGTAGAGTGCAGTGAAAGCAGTAAAAAGCTATTGTAGGGCATTAAAATGTAAAGTGTAGTTACTGGATACAGAAGAAAGAAGAGAGTTTCTTCATGGAAATTTCATAACAGATACTTTTCACTTTCTGGACTGCAAACACACTCATGCACCA